TGGAACTCACTTGGTAGCCCAGGCTGGCCTCGAACTCACAGAGATCCGCCTGGCTCTGCCTCCCAAGTGCTGGGATTAAAGGCGTGCGCTATCACCGCCCGGCTTGTTTGTTTGTTTTTTAAAAGATTTATTGATTAGGTATACAGTGTTCTTCCTGCATGTATCCCTGCAGGCCAGAAGAGGGCACCAGATCTCATTACATGACAGCTGTGAGCCACCATGTGAATGCTGGCAATTGAACTCAGGACCTTTGGAAGAGCAGCCCAGTGCTCTTAACCGCAGAGAGCCATTGTTAAAAGCTAACCATTAGTCACTGACAGAGCTGATGACTGTCAGCTTTCATTTTTTTCTAGGCTTACAACTTTATATTCCTATATTCCTGGACCCTTCAATAAAGCTCTCTGTACACAGAGTGGATGCTAAATAATTTTGCTAGGTGACCAGACACTTAGAAACGTGCACCATGATTCCCTTGCCTCAGTCTGGGGTGTGTGCCACTGTGTCCAGGTGCCACTATTTATTTATTTCTGGTTTTTCGGGACAGGGTTTCTCTGTGTAGTTTTGGTGCCTGTCCTGCTGGATCCTACTCTATAGACCAGGCTGGACTTGAACTCACAGAGAGCTGCCTGGCTCTGCCTCCCGAGTGCTGGGATTAAAGGCATACGCCACCACCACCCAGCCAGCCACTTTATTTTGTTGTTGTTCATGAAGAAGTGATTACTGGGGAAAAAAGCAGCACTTTGCATATTTAAAAATAACAATTCAGAATTTTGTATTTGACAAAATTACTTTGCACAATCAAGCCAAGGGCCCAATGTCACAACTTGTGTGATGAACTTGTTGGTGCGCTGCATTAGAATCAAATTAGCTCCATAATGAATTGTCATGTTTTAAACAATTGAGTAAATTGGCAGCCGACTCAAGCAGAGCCCAGGTGAGTGACATCGAAGAGTGAGTGTCCTTGTTTCTCTCCACCTTTTAAATCCTTTGTTCCTTTGTGGACTGCTCTGGGTTTGAGAGAGTTTGGGGGTGCTCCTTGTGTTTTTATTCTTTTTCTTTCTTTCTTTCTTTCTTTCTTTCTTTCTTTCTTTCTTTCTTTCTTTCTTTCTTTCTTTCT